TAAACTGCTTGCTGACCTTTTTGATGGCATGGCATACATAGAAAATGATTATTTGTTCAGCACAAATGGTACTTATTTGGCTCACTGGAGCAAACAGATGAATCTTCTTGGGAGTCAAGAGGTGACAACGTAAGGGCTCAGCCATCTGGCCCCTGCCTGGCTGGTATTTCAGGCATAGCTGCACCCCCTCTTCCCGCACCACTCAGGAAGCTCCGGTCTGGAGGATATGAGCAAGTACAGCTCAGCAAAAGATCATTACTGTAAACAGAGTGAGATACAAGGCAGGAGAAGTGGTCTGAGTCCGGAGACCTGGGCTCAGAGAGGCTTCTTACTACTGACCAGCTTCAAGTTACTGTTGCTGAGCTCAGCCTTTGGTGTGAGTGCTGGAAAAGACCAGCTCCTGCCAGGGCAGCCCTAGCAATGTGTTCACATGGTCATATGTTTTTATAGAACTTGTAAAAGTTGGACCCTCCAGCGGGAATCAGTTAAACCGTCTATCTCTCTGCTCAGCTTCCTCTTCATGACATTTCCCCTCCTGTCAGGAGGCCTCTGGGTGGCCACAACACTTTATATGCAAAACTGTGCTTTTTATTTCTTAACAAGAGCCTCCAAAATTATGTAAGCTTGAAGCCCCCAAAAATGTGGATCTGCCTCTGCCTCCAACCTAGTTTAGCAAAGAAATAGGGGTAGGGTTGGACATTTATTCCCACCTTCTCATTCATAGTCCTTATAGCAGCCATTCCTTGATACCAATTGCTGGGTGAATTTTCTCTTTCATTTTGAAATTTATCATTAATATTTAAAATGCACATAATGGGCTCAGTGCCTGTAGCTCAATGGCTAGGGCACCAGCCACATACACCAGAGCTGGTGGGTTCAAAACTAGCCAGGGCCTGCCAAATAACAATGACAATTACAACAACAACAACAAAAATAGCTGGGCATTGTGGTGGGTGCCTGTAGTCCCAGCTACTTGGGAAGCTCAGGCAAGAGAATCGCTTAAGCCCAAGAGTTTGAGGTTGCTGTGAGCTGTGACGCCATAGCTCTCTACCGAGGGCAACATAGTGAGACTTTGTCTTAAAAAAAAAAAATGCACATAGTAAAAAAAATACAGCAGCTCATTCCTGTAATCCCAGCATTGTGGGAGGCTGAGGTAGAAGATTGCTTAAGGCTGGGAGTTTGAGACTAGCCTGGACAATGTAGTGAGGCCCCGCTCATCTCAAATAATTATTAATTTAAAAAAATTAGCGGCTCGGCTCCTGTGGCTCAAGTGGCTAAGACGTTAGCCACATGTACCTAAGGTGGCAGACTTGAATCCAACCTGGGCCTGCCAATACAACAATGATGGCTGCAACCAAAAAATAGCCAGGCATTGTGGCGGGCGCCTGTGGTCCCAGCTACTTGAGAGGTTGAGGCAGGAGACTCGCTTGAGCCTAGGAGTTGGAGGTTGCTGTGAGCTGTGATGCCATGGCACTCTACCCAGGGAAATAGCTTGATGCTCTGTCTCAAAAAAAAAAAAAATTAGCACATAATATACCCTGTACTTTCAGCTGTGAGAGGATCACTTGAGCTGGGAAATGGGAGACTGCAGAGAGATATAATTGTGCCACTGCCCTCCAGTCTGGGTGAGAGAGACACATGTCTCTTAAAAATAAAAAATATATATTTATTTATTGAGACAGAGGCTCACTATGTCACCCTTGGTAGAGTGCCATGGCGTCACAGCTCATAGTAACCTCAAACTCTTGGGCTTAAGCAATTTTCTTGCCTCAGCCTCCAAAGTAGTTGGACAACAGGCGCCCTGCACAATGCTCGGCTTTTTTTTTTTTTTTAGAGACAGAGTCTTACTTTATTGCCTTCAGTAGAGTGCTATGGTGTCACAGCTCACAGCAACCTCCGACTCCTGGGCATAGGCAATTCTCTTGCCTCAGGCTGCCAAGTAGCTGGGACTACAGGCATCTGCCACAATGCCCAGCTATTTTTTTTTTTTTTTGCCATTTTTGGCTGGGGCTGGGTTTGAACCACCACCTCTGGCATATGGGGCCAGCGCCCTACTCCTTTGAGCCATAGGCACTGCCCAATGTCTGGCTATTTTTTTGTTGCAGTATGGCCAGGGCCATGTTTGAACCTACCACCCTGGGTATATGGGGCCAGTGCCCTACCCACTGAGCTACAGGCACCACCACCACCCTACTCAGCTATTTTTTTTTTTTTTTGAGACAGAGCCTCAAGCTTTACCCCTAGAGTGCTCTGGCATCACAGCTCACAGCAACCTCCAACTCCTGGGCTCAAGCGAGTCTCCTGCCTCAGCCTTCCAAGTAGCTGGGACCACAGGTGCCTGCCCCAACGCCTGGCTATTTTTTTTTTTTTTTTTGGTTGCAGCCATCATTGTTGTTTGGCAGGCCTGGGTTGGATTCGAACCCACCACCTTGGGTGTATGTGGCTGGTGCCTTAGCCACTTGAGCCACAGGCGCCGAGCCCACTCAGCTATTTTGTTGTTGTTGCAATTGTCATTGTCGTTTTAGCAAGCCCAGGCCAGATTTGAACCCTCCACCCTCAGTGCATGTGGCCAGCGCCATAACCACCGTGCTATGGGCATCGAGCCAGAAAAAAACATTTAAAATTTAAACAGCATAACAGAGGATAATCCAGGCTGGGTGTGGTGGCTCACACCTGTAATCCTAGCACTCTGGGAGCAAGGCAGGTTAGATTGCTTGAACTCACGAGTTAGAGACCAGCCAAGCAAGAGCCAGATCTGTTCTCTAAAAATAGTCAGGCATTGTGGTACCTGCCTGTAATCCCAGCTATGCAGGAGGCTGAGGCAAGGGGATCTCTTGAGCCCAAGAGCTTGATGTTGCAGCTAGATATGACACCATGGCAGTCTATCCAGGGTGACAGAGTGAAACTCTGTATCAACAACAACAACAACAAAGTACAATCCCCAGCATGCTGAGTCACCAGCCCGACCCAAATCTCCAGACTCATGTCTCCCTGGGAAAATGCCACAAACATTTTCTGGTGAATTTTTTACAGAAATGTTGTAAATATATATATATATATATATATATTTTTTTTTTTTTTTTTTTTGGACAGTCTTACGTCATAGCCCTCAGTAGTGTGCTATAGCGTCACAAGCTCACAGCAACCTCCAACTCTTAGGCTTAGGCGATTCTCTTGCCTCAGCCTCCCAAGTAGCTGGGACTACAGGTGCCCACCACAATGCTGGGCTATTTTGTTGTCGCACTTTGGCTGGGGCCGGGTTTAAACCCGCCACTCTTGGTATATGGGTCCAGTACCCTACCCACTGAGCCACAGGCCCCACCTGTATATCTTTTTTTTTTTTTTTTTGGACAGTCTTACGTCATAGCCCTCAGTAGTGTGCTATAGCGTCACAAGCTCACAGCAACCTCCAACTCTTAGGCTTAGGCGATTCTCTTGCCTCAGCCTCTGGAGTAGCTGGAACTACACCCGCCTGCCACAACGCCAGGCTATTTTTTGTTGCAGTTTCCACTGCAGTTTTAGCTGGCCGGGGCCAGGTTTGAAGCCGCCACTCTCAGTATATGGGGCCAGCACCCTACTTATTGAGCCACAGGTGCTGCCCTGTATATATATCCTATTTTTATATAAATACAAGTATATTTATGTACTATGTTGTACTTAATAAACCTTCACAAATCTTTCCAAATCAACACAGAGTTTAACTTAATTCTTCATAAAGGCTATACAAATTGAATGTGCCAAAATTAATCTAACCATGTGAAGTAGATTTAATTACAACCATCCTTAAGTCACTGTACTCGTTTACAGAGTCCAACCTGGCCTTTCTGCACAGGACCTCACAGAAGGCTGTTTCATGATCTTTCCTAGCGAGGTAGTTTTGGTTCCTTCATATAGGAAATCTCCCCTCAAAACACGAAATTGGCCACCACATGTCAGGGACTCCGTTGAAGACTTAAAATCAAACTCAGATCCCTTAAGATTAATGAGGTCCTGGGACTGCCACGTGGGACGTAAGCTAGCTCCTATTCTCCCCCTCAAAGATTCACTTTGGAGGTGGGAGAGTTAAGACAACTACAACTGCTCGGTGGAGGACGCCCAGTGCCGGGTCACGAGCTGAAATGAGTCAGCCCTATTTTGTAAGCCTTATAACTCGGTGGCGGGTCTCACTCCGTGCCTAGTTCCAGTCAATTATTCCGAGCCTGTTCAAAATCTTCCAGTGGGGACCCTTCAGGGAGGGAGGGAGGGACTGCAAAACCAGAATATTCTAGAGGGAGCAGCGCCACTGCGAGGCCAGCTGGCTTGCAGGCGGCGGTGCGTTTTGCGTCCTTCCACCCAGACAGCAAACGTGGCGTGGGGATCGTGTGGAGGTGCTGGGCCACCCTTTCCTCCCCACTCGGAGACCCTCACAGCGCACCCTGAAGGTTCGGGTCTGGTTCGGGAAGGTTGTTGGGTCTGGTTAAAGGAATGGCAGTCCATTGGGACTCAGCCAGGCCACTACGTCCTGGAAGAAATCGGGTCGTAGGCTGTTACGATCTATGAGGCTGCAATGACCCCATGTCTAAGTGCTCCATCAACGTCTGCTCAGTGAAGGTGTCCCCATATGTGATAGGTCAGCGTGTCACACCCCGCGTTCTGTTGGCGTGAGCTCCCTGAGTCACCGTCTAGGGCCTTTAAGATTTTGCCCTGGGAAAAGCCAAACCGCTTATTCCAATCCCACTGAGGAGGCGGGGGTGGGACATGCACAAGCCGATTGGTTATGCAAATAGTGGCGTAGGTCCAAGCCTAGGGGAGACTACAAATTCCAGAATACAATCTTCCACCAGCCGAGAGAGAGAGCGAGGTGGCGGTAGCATTGCCTTCTGGGAAGTGTAGTCTTCAACTGGTTTATGATGCAGGCGGAACTCTGGGGGGCGGGGAGATGGAGTAAACTATTACCACGTGACGCGAGAGATCAGGTGGTTGGCCCAGCCTCCACAGAGGAGCTGTGATTGGCTGACTTTAATACGAACGACGCCACTGGGGGCGGGCCAAAGAAGGGCGCAAGCGCCCTGAGTTGCGAGTCTCGGGACCCCTTTCGTAGAGACCATGGCGCTCAACAAGAATCATTCGGAGGGCGGCGGAGTAATCGTGAACAACACCGAGAGGTGAAAACACTGCGGAAGGATCCTGGAAAACCGAAATTTGGGTGTCTAGGCTGTGGGTGGAGGGTGGCGGGCCGTGGGTCCTGGGTCACGGGCGGTGGGGAGTAAACCCTTGGAGAGAGAAAACGGTGGAGTGCGAATGTCGGGTGGGGGTAACGGCTGGGGGCGGGGCTGGGAGAAGGTTGGGTGGGTTGTGGGGGAGGAGCCAGAATGTTGCGATCTGCTGAGGTGGGGGTGGGGATGGGAGTGGGTGCGGCTGGGTAGGGACGGCTTTTCGGGCGATTAGTCGGGCCTAGGGCCAGTTCTAGAGCCCCTTTCTAGCATTATGACTTTAAGAGTTGGGAGGACCATTAAACAAAAATAATTGTCATTTATTGGACGTTTACTGCGTTCCTACGTGTCATAGTACCTTCTTTAATACATAAATTCTGTACGGCCGAAACTATTTTATACGCATTTCACAGGTGGGGAAATAAGGCACAGAGAGCTTAAGTACGTTGCCGAGATCACAACTCTGTAACAGAGATGGCAAATTCCAGGAAGGGAGTCTTGACTCCCAAGTTAGTAAATAGGATCAACTACCAGTATACAGCTTTACATTATATTCCAGAATCGCTCAAGTTCCAGGTGAGAAACTAAGGCCCCAGAGGTGAAATTAAATAGATGACGTTTGTCAAACATCTAACACAATTCCTGGCACTGTGTGGGTCCTTGTAAAGATTAGTCCCTTGCCTCTATTGAAAGCCTATTGGCTTGGATCACTCCCCAGGGCAGAGGTCTCCTAACTTCAAAGTTCTCTCTACTACTACCAAACCCCCTTACCCCTTACCTCATGCAGTCTGTCTTCTCTTCCAATCTTGCAACTCCTTGGATAGCTGCTCTCTCCTTTTGCTTCTGGGGTATTTGAGAATCAGACCAGCCAGCCCTGGGTTGAACTATGCTGACCCTAAATCACCTCTTGAAGGTAGATGGAGTTTAGGAAGAACCCCAGTCCCTAAAGGAGACATGGTGGAGTCAGAGCCTTGTAGTCACCTAACCTGTCACTTGGGAAGACTTGATGAGTCAGAGAACACTTAGGATGACCCAGGCCTCAGAATGTTGACCTTCCCTCCATCTTACTTGCTCAGAGTCTGATGAGCCCAACCTGTTCCTCATAATTGCTTCTTTTCTCTGAGCTGTACTTCTCTTTTCTTGTGCCTGTTCTATTTCACACTACCCTTGCCCATTCAAGAAAATAATGATATTTGGGAGGAGGGAAAAGATAAATAGAACCATGTAAACTTGAACCTTTTAATTATGTAATCAGAGAAACCTTACATTGCTCACTCGTTTGTTGCACCTCTGTGTACAAGTCATTTGCCAGACCAGGGCAGGTTTTGATGCCATTTGGCAACATCTTTGGGGACTGTTTTTCTTTCTCTTTAAGCCTTTTCTGGGACAAGAATGTATCTGTCCTGCTGGGCCTTCTACATGGCTTAGGGCTCAGCATTGCTACATAAGTGGGTGCCTTGTTTTAGAAAGTGTTTCATCTTCATATGTGAATAAGTGTCTACAATAATTGAAGTTTAAGTCCAACATTCAAAATGTAATATTTAAAATAGTGAAACTTAGGGTCAGGTGGTGATTGATGCATATAATCCTAGCACTCTGGGAGGCTGAGAAAGGTGGATTGCTTGAGGTCAGGAGTTCTAAACCAACCTGAGCAAGAGCAAGACCCTATCTCTAAAAACTAGCTGGGAGTTGTGGTGGGCGCCTGTAGTCGCAGCTACTCAGGAGGCTGAAGACAAGGGGATGATTTGAGCTCAAGAGTTTGAGG